GGGAAAAGAAGAAAAAGAAAATGACTTTTAAAGGTGAGATGGCAAAGATAATTCAGTACAAACTCTAAGTCTCTTAGAGCATTTTCACATGTGAAGAACTTTAGAAATTAACCTCACACCGTCAAAGCAGAAACCAAATATTTTTTCAAACCAAACAACTAGTTAGGCAGAGTAGATACAAATGCTTAGCTTCAAAATTATCCCAGAAATATTCTTCTCACTAAGCAAGTCTTATAGTCTCTGATGTACAAAATCTTTTTTGTAAAGTAGAATTAATTCTGTTCATAACTTCCCTGAAATATTTTAAGGATAAGATGACAAAATATAAATTTAAAAATTATTTAAAATAAAGGTAGAGGAAAAAGTAAATTATTCTTATGACTTAGTATATTCTGTTATCTTCTGAATTTTTGTTTTCATTTTTTTTTTTTTGGCAGGGGGAGTGGTTTGTGTGTTTTTTAAGGTTTTGGCCATAGGGTACGTGTGCTGGAAAGAGACAGAGAAGAATAGTGAAATCAAAAGTGAGAAATCATCCCCTGGGCCGATGGCCATTCCACAGTTCCTTCTCCTCCATCCTCCTGGGATTTGGGGCATACACACACACATGCTGGGTATGATTTCCAAGCCACCAGGTCCAGGACTCAAACTGCAGTCAGCCATGTGGGAGTCCAGCACCTTAACCACCTTAACCACTATGTCACCTGCTGGCACTCTTCTGAGTTACTTTTCAATAATTTTTTTTTTTGATAGGTTTTTGCTATAGGGGTACATGCACTGGCCAGAAAAACAGAGAGAGACAGAAAGCAAGAAATCACACCCCAGGGGAGACGGCCACCCCGCAATCCCTTCTCCTCCATTCTCCTCTCAGATCTTGGGCATGCACACACACATGCCTGGCATGAGTTTAAGCCACCAGGTCCAGGACTCCAACTGCAGTTCACTACTTGGGAGTCCAGCGACATAGCCATTACACTAACTGCTGGTTCCACTTTTCAGGAAATTTTTTAAGAATAAGATTTACATTTATAAAAAATCAACATTACGATTAGATTATTTTCTAAAATCTTTCAAGGTGATGTGTCTGATTTTGGGGGAAAGGTCTTTTTCTAAATACTTGTAGGCCATTCATTTGGCAGAAAAAATAAACTTACATTAACATAATAATAATAATATTCTTTATTAATGAAACATTCTTAAAAATCTAACTTATTTCTAATCCACAAAATGTTAGACCCTTCTTCCGCTGCTATATTCAAGTCTTTGAATTTGATTCCAAACCATCAGGCCCATCAGAGGATGCTTTTCCTTCTATTCTCATGTCTAAGAGATACTAAGACCAAATGGCCTATGGATATTATATTTCCTTTCTCCTTCTGAGAAGACACCTGAAGAATTACTACTAACTACTGGAACAACTATGGAGGGGGCGTACAACAAAGCTTTTGAAGCAAAATGACAAAAATTATGCTTGTCTTCTTGCATTTTCTTTTTTTTCTTTAATACGGGGGATTTTTTATGTCCCATATTCAAATATTCTGATTTAGGTTCCCTGGTTTTTCCTACTGAGCATTAACCACTTTTTAATCATTTTGGAAGGTGTGCTACTTTATACTGTACAGTTTTATTTTATTATTTTTAAAATAATTTTTATAAGTTTATTATTTCTCTATGAGAGAGAAAAGCAGAGAGAGTCAAGCCTAACCAACAGGGTCTTCACGCCTCAACCCGACCTCCCATCTCAGCCAGCCAAAACCACAGGTACACACACAGCACCTACATGCTCAAGGGTGCCAGGATGCAACCCCAGGACCTTGCCCACATGGGGCCGGTTATGTTACTACTCATGGTGTAGTCCCTACTACATATTTTATTAATAGATGGTATAACGGGATGCCCTGACCCCCCTCCCCAAAAATAGATCTAAGGCTTTTCTATCATGTCATGTTCCTTGGCTCCTGAGCTTAATTTGAAATTATCCCAGAAGGGGTTTGAGATGGATAAAGTCCATGCTGAGAGGCTTTGCCTCTTTGCCTTACTCGACTTTTCCCTTTAATATTTACGTTTAGACCAGCAGTGATTAAGCCCTGTGTGTGTGCACAGGAATCATCACAGGAATTTGTTAAAATACAGATTCGGAGACCCTTCCCCCAGATTGCAGGATTCCATGATTAAGGTGCAGTTACAGTGACTGTGATACTGGCAGGTACACTGCCTACATGTGATGGGGTGATTACAAAAAATGGCCCCAAGTGTCCACCTTCTTCACCTTTGCAATGAATGGACTCTGCTAGTTCTCCAACAAGAAGTGGTGTCTAATGTCCTAGCCCATGAATTGGAGGTAGTTTTGTAACCTGCTTTGGTAACAGAATAGGGTAGAACTGAGCTTTGCCACCATAAGTCTTGCTTATTTCCACACTCTGAGAACCCTAAGGCTGCAGCCTTGTGAATGAGCCCCAGCTAGCCTGATGGAAGGGGAGTGGATGGGGGCCTGACTGCCACCATCAGACAGCAGTCAGTTAGGCACGGGAATGAGGCCATCCAGGAGCAGCCAGCCCCTAGTTGACACACTGGTTCACCAACCAAGATCAGCAAGTCTGGTCCAGCTGACCCACACACTCATGAGTAGAAACGTTTACTGTTCTAAGCCACAAGTCAAAGGACACTATGTTATACAATGATAGATCTTTGGTGCCTCTTCATCCCCACCTCCCCTGCCACCTTCGTAACTTATGCTCTCATTTATCGTTCCGACTCCTACAATAATGCCTTCTAACTGGTCTCCCCATCATCACCACCCAACTCCACGAACAACATTGGTGTTGGGGCCAGCAGGTGGTGTGGTGGTTAAGGTGCTGGACACTCCCACATGGCTAACCAGGGTTCAAGTCCTGAATCTGGTGGCTTGCTTTCTCACTTCCTCTCTCTCTCATTCTCACCCTCTGTCTCTCTTTGCTCAAAGTAAAAAAAAGATATAAAAGTAAATGAATGAATAAATAAAATAAAATAATTATTTAAAAAAATATATTAAAGTTGGAAACTATAGTGTGGTAACTTAACATATTCTCATCATCTAGCATGAAGCTTGGTACCTCATAGGTGCTCAACCATGCTTATAGTGACTCCTGCCAGAATCCAAGCACAGCTCTGATCACATCACTCTCCCATGCAGACCACTACTGGCACTTAGACCATAAAATGAGTCCACTTTCTACTTGATCTATTTAATTCCAGGACTTTTGTGGTTGAGCCTAATCCTACTTTTCTATTCTTTCTCCTTTTTCTCTTGATGCTTAGTTCAAAAGTGAGGGCTGGTTGTGGACATCCCTTACTTCTGTATCTGTGCTCAGACTCGGCTTAGAAAGCCCTGTCACACCTCTCCAAAATCTATGCATCCTTGGGACCAGCAGTTGGCGTAATGGCTGTGTCGCTGGACTCCCATGTAGCCGACCACAGTTCGAGTCCCGGACCCGGTGGCTTAAACTTACACCGGGTGCATGCGTGTGTGTGCCCAAGATCCCAAGAAGAGAATGGAGGAGAAGGGATTGCAGCATGGCCATCCCCCCTAGGGGGTGATTTCTCACTTTCTGATTCTCTGTCTCTCTCTTCTTTCTGGCAAGCACAAGTGCCCTATGGCAAAAACCTCCGCCACCCCCCCAAAAAAAAAGTCTACGCATCCTTGAAAGTCCTACTCAAATGCTACCTCCTCCATGAAACATGACAGCTCTAGTTAAGAAAAGCTCTCCCCCTCTTCTGCCCCTAGCACTGTACCTGAGCCTCTTAGGTACCGGATACCATGGTTAGTTCTTGTGCATTGTAGTACCTAGCAGGCATATGCTCTACCAGAGATGGTGAACTTTTTGAGGCCAGGTTTCATCTTTTCCCTCTCTCTGCTTCCCATTGTACCTAACACAGTACAGGAAACACGTGAAGACATTAATAAACGCTTACTGAGCGAATAGATGCTATATTTAGTTACCTCTAAAACAACAGTAAATACAGTAATACCCAAACTCAAGCCAAACCCTGAATGAAGATGGCAGAATAAATACAGTGGTTTTCATATATCAATCTGTGAAAAGAATCTTCTGAAAAGCATGTTAAAAAATACAAATTCATAGCTCTGACCCCAGAATAAGAGGTTCTGCAGAATTCAACCCTGAATTTGAATTCTTGGTCCATACGACCTTGAGGGGATTTGTGGGAGGTTTGCAGCCAACACGTTCATATGCAATGACATACGTACAGCATGCGTTTCAGACGTGAGCTCCAAAGGCAACCGATAT